TTGAGGTAGTCCAACTTTTGTTGTTGCACTTTGAGATAACCCTCTAAATTGGTTATTAATACCGATTCAGTCTCAAGAAGTTCCTCCATCTCTGCCAACGCCGTATACACCTCGGAATTGGTGCAACCGATGGCCAGTGAACATATTAGGAAACATATTGGCAAAAGTTTCGAAATTTGTGTAATCGCTGAGCCTTGCCTCCGTCCAAACATTTCAATAGAAAAGGTGTAGGGATTTACCTATAGGAGGTTTTGGTTTGTGCTGCAATTAAAGGAAATTTAATTTGATCAATTGAAATTATTTAGTGAGCATAAAGATTTTAGAAATACTTTGTGAGGCAATAAAATCGAGTTTTCTAATTTCTAACTTAAAGTTCTTCTTTCGACTCTTTTGTTTGACATATATACATATATATACATATGTATATACATTTACCGGCTTTTTTTTATAAAAAAAACATTAATTCATGAATGCAATTTCTCCGCCATTGATCAAATATTTTTGTATCATAAAAAAGTGATTCAAGTGTGAACAAATTTGCAAAAACAACGAAACTGGATTCTTAACTTTATTTCTTTAATTTTATTTAACACACAGATGTACATATGTACATATATTCCCTCGCACCAAAGTCGAAAAGCATAAAAAATATACTTATTTTTGCACTAATAAATAAATAAACAAGATTTGTTTTAATTCTATCAAGCAGTATTAATTTGAAAATACTGTTATTATAAAGTACATATGTATGTGCATGTGTATGTACATATTACACATCTGCACGAATCCATTCCAAACGGCAATGAATCATTCATATAATATCAATCATATTTAACATCTCTTCTAGCGCTACTGCTTTTTCCTTTCCATACATTATAAACAATCTTCAAAAAAGCGACTGCTAGTGTAGAATAAGGTAGGTATCACGAAAAAATAAAACATTTAATAACTTAGCTTAGCAAATTTTTCATCAGTAAAAGGAGTTTAAGGGCAAATATCAGGTAGTAGTTGCGGAGGAGCGAATTTGATTTGTTTCGTGTATTTATACTATGTCTCCATTGTGAGATTTACTGCAACTACTACGGTATTTACTTACACCCGGAGAAAACTCCTGGGAATATTGTACATATGTATATCGTCACTACACACGAATAAAGGCGCGCTAGTGTTTTGACGGTGAAAAAAGGCGCGTAAAAAAATTTTGCGAAAAAAGATGCTTGTGAAAAACTTCGGCGAAGTATGTTAAGAGTCTTTGACGCTGCAGTTTTTTTATGCGTCTTTTTTCGCCGTCAACTTTTGAGCTCGCGCCTTTATTCGTGTCTAGTGACGATATCTTTTCGATTTCAGAATCTACAACTCTGTAATTTAAAGCAAACGTAAATACGTAAAAAAAATTTAAAGGTGAAGTTGTGTACCATATCGTACCTAGTTCTAATTATTATATTTTCTACTGAAAAATGTAACCTTCGCTCATCGTACAAATACTAAGGGGAGATAAGAAAACGATAGCAGTTTGACGGCCCCATTCAAAGCTGAGTTATGATGAAGTTAGTCGACCATACTTATAGCTATACCAATTTCCTGGAAATATTGCAGTAATCTAAGCGTCTTTAAGCCTTTCTCATAGACAGTTATTGAGAGAAGACGTCCAATTGCCATTTGTTCACAGTCTATCAGAGGTCACAAATCTCAGAGCGCTCTTAGTATTTACTAGAGATTTTAGTATTTTACTTACCAACGAAATGAACTTCCCTACGACCAGGATAATTAAGTCACCTGCATATGCAAAAATTCCCCGGATATTTATAGTTTGAAAACGATCTGTAATTGATCGCGGTCGCTGACATGCGCTATTTTTCTAAACAGTCGTTCGTTTGATACACATATTTTAAAATTGCATATAATTTGTGTATAATTAAACCAAATTCGACTTTCAGAACAGCGGCAACCTCTTCAAAAAAATTTCAAACTAAAATATTCTTAAATATATTTCGTATGACATTTTTATAATTATTTCAAGCAACTGATGAAGTTGAATTTGATATTTTAAACACGTGGCCATACTAGTAAATAAATATAGTTCAGAAATAAATGGTTTCAAGCCGATTTCGACAGATAACCATCTTTTTATAATTCATTTAACTTATTCAACCTGAACACATCAACAATATTGTAAATTGTCAAACTAAATATTTCCTTGCCAACCATTTTTAAATTTCATTCCACTTGGGTATGCAATAATTTAATTCAACTTTCAAAACAAAACAATAGAAGAATTTACATTATTTCAATTTTATATACTTAAGACAGTCCGACACATGAAAATTTTCTCCGAGATAAGGCTCCAGTTTCTAATAGATTTAGGGTCGCTAAATTTGTAAAAATTTTGACCTTTATGTGCATATGTTTGAATTTTACGAAAATAAGGCAAATAGCGAAATCGGCTAACTTTCTTTTTGCAAAGCGGCTAAAAAATCGGCTGCCGGCTAAACCGAATTTTCTCCCGCCGTTTTCGATCGCAACCAGCTAAATCTACCTGGAAAACGACTAAACTGGCCACACTGGGCAGAAGTACACTCGGATGGTTGCCATTGTCTGCCGAGGGGCGACAGCTGCAAGAAAAAACTTCTGTTGATGATGCTGGTTCCAAAAATTTAACCAGCGATCTCTCGAGCAGCAGAAGGCATCTCTAAGCCTTCACAAAGTATTAAAAAAGGACCATACGTAAATTTTTCACTGATTTTTGTTTGTTTTAATGTTGATATAGAAAAACTTTGTACTTATTTTGCTTTGCTCTTTTCTTAATATAACTGTAAAAAGTTAATAGTTTTATTGTAATTTTTGGTCATGACTTTACACGAAGATACCCATTTTCACGGTAGAAGAACTATGTAAATTAAATCCGGTTTACTTTTCTTTATTTCAAAATCGTTTTTTTCACATTGGCTGCGTTTCTTTATACATTCCGGATAATCCCATTTCACAGCCGGAATAAACAGAATGCGTTTGAAATATACGTTAACATATCATTAAGAACGTTCTAAAGAATAAATAAACAAAAAAGTATATTCCAAACATTCAGAATGAATAAAGAAATGCAGCCATTGTAATTTTTCGAATAACTCGACAACCGGTTTTGGAAAAAGGCGAATAATCGAATGCCGAATATGTAAAACCGCAACACCTAACAAATTCAATTGAAATTCATTGATTAAACTACATATCTACTTTGAAAAAATCTGCGACTTTTTATATTATATTTACTATTGGATGAAATTAGCTGACTTACTGAGATTAATTTCCAATTCTCATTCCTCATTATTTTTTTTTTCTACACGTGTATGATTGACTAGTTGATCATAATGTCGTTTATGAGCTTCGAATATGTTTCGCAATAGCTTAAATTTTTGTTAATGCGATGCTATTAATTTTAATCATTGAAAACATCAACAAAGTCGTAAACTATAGTTAAATAAATGAATAGCTCTTTATTCTGGGCTTTTAAGGCGGCTTTCATTTCAAAGCCAATAAATTGTATTGTTGTTATTTCGCTGACAAGTGAATGGGTCGATGGGATCGTTTTTTTTTTTTGCAGAAGCAATTCTTCTTAGTGAAGTAGTAAAAGGAAGATGTAGGCAATACAGAACAAGGAAAATCTCACTGATTTATGCATGCGTATCCATATACCACTGGAAAAAATAAAAGAAATCAAGTTCAATGAACTCGAGGTAGTGTTAATTATCTGCTTCTTTAATCAAATATATGTATATATTTAATGATCACTTCTTTCACATATAGTCGAACTTTTTAATGAAATTTTAAATGTTTCTAAATGTCTTAATGCCTGAAATAAAATCTACTCACCATCACCGCTCTTATTTGGAAGATCACTAGATGAAGATTGGTTAGTAATGAGTTCTTGAGTTAACTAAATTGAAATTGAAGTAGGCAGAAACAAGTTTATTTGCTTTTGCAAGAAAATTTAATAAGCATTATCTTGAATGAGGCCTGCACGTTTAAAACGACAATGGGATAGAATCGGTATAATTCCATGTTAATGAACAGTTCCTGTCTTTCTTCGGGCTTATCGAATTTTCTGTGCCTTTTTTGACTTGGTAAAACGCTTAACTGAAAATAGTCCGATTTTTTCGAATGCCATGCTTTTAATTTTGCTCGCGTTCTAATATATGGTACATACGAGTAGATACAAAAAATTATTATCTACACACGCAAATACATATCTGTAAGAGGACTGTTAGCAGCTTTTCATTCGAAACTAGGGATACGATACATGCAGATGCACATACATATGTACATTAGGGCGATTTTTATTGCGACTACTGTTTTTTTTCACTCCTACCTCGAAATTTTGTAGAAAACACACGTAAACTTAGAGTTTTTTCCTTAAAACGTCTACAGCTCAGAGGTATTTTATGGTATAATCTTGGTTTTCTTCAGAACTGAATTCTCTACAAAAGTGTTCATTGCGGTGTAATCCTAACTCCCACCAGCGAGGAAGTGCGGGTCACTAGACCCAATTTTTCCATGAAATTCTCGTTTTTTTGCCTCTATCTCGAAAATAAGAAGAGCTACAGAAAAAATATAAATAAAACACTTGTAGGACTTTCGATTTCATACAAAAAAGTTAGAGAACACAAAATCGCTAACATCGATATTTCTTGAGGTTTTGGGCTTTAAAGTTGAGGTAGTGTGGAATTTTCATGGACTATTAGCTAAATTGTAGAAATTGTTGATCAACTTCAAAGTCCAATATCCCAAGAAATGTGGATATTAGCGATTTGGTGGCGGGAATTTTTTTATTAATTTTTTTATTCATATTTTTTCTCTAGATCTTGTTATTTTCGAGGTAGGGGCAAAAAACGAGAATTTCATGAAAAAACTAGTTTTAGTGACACAATAGGGTCCATCACCAAAAACAACGTTGCGCCTTTTCTGCCGGAATTAAAAATTTATTACATTTTAAGAGCCAATATATTTTGGAAAAAAATAAGATTTACGGAAACCGATTTGAAAATACCTACAAAAGTCTTATTATTTTGATTCCGTTGAAAATTTTTTAAACATTTTTTTTTTTTGAAGATATTTTAAGCTTAAACTCTTCTATAACCTGGTTTGATTTTTTAGAAAAAATACTTTTTTAAGCTAATTTTATTTATAAAAAATAGGTTTTTGGAGGTATTTTCAAATAGGACCAATTCACGTAAATC